TAAGGACCCTTATGATTACATTGAGTTCATCTTGATAATCCAGGATAATCTCTCAAATTCCTTAATTTAACCATATCTGCAAAGTCCCTTTTGCCATTTAGGGAACATATTCACAGGTTCTGAGGACTAGGGCATAGTCATCTTTGGGGGCCATCAATCATTTTACCATAAGACATGATAGATTATCCTTTACAGTTATTTGTTTTTGGGGTAAGGACAGGGAGAGGCAGATAGTGTCCCCCGTCATACTTCATGTTTGTGTCTCCCTCAATACACATGGATGATTACTTTCATGCAGAAAGGAGAACTGCAAGTGAAGGATGGAAGACAGGAAGGACACCTCATCTACAATTCTTCCCATCAACCGGAAATATCTCTGGTCGATGAATGTGCGGTTTCAGGTAGGCCCACATTACTAAGCTCCAAATTAGTGACCTTAGAGAAGAGGGCAGCATGCTGACTAAAGAAAGGTGGGCATTTTCTCCACAGGATTGCCTTTTGGTTTTACTCTGCCAGGCCTGAGGTACAGGGGTGGGGAAGTGAGTCAAGTAGGTCTCCTGCCATCAGATCTAAGAGATCTCTTCTACCACACTACCCTCCCCACCCCCACACAGGCACACGTGTACCTGTGTATACACATTCACATTTATACACATACCAGAGTAATTCTTCTACAATTTTTTAATTAATAGACTTTTTTGAGCAGTTTTAGGTTTACAGAGAAACTGACTGGAAAGTACGCAGAGTTCCAATATACTGCCTGATACCCCTTCCCCTATTATTAATATATGCATTTGCATGGTATATTTGTTACAATTGATAAGCCAATATTGATGCATTATTATTAACTAAAGTCCATAATTTATATTGGGGTTCACTCTCTGTGTTGCACATTCTATGAACTTTTGTCAAATGTATAATGACATGTATCCACCATTACAGTATCATTCAGAATAGTTTTACTGCTATAAAAATCCCCCAAACTCTACCCATATCATTTAAAAACTTCCTTTTCTATGAATTTTAGTAAAATGTTGGGTCTTCTTGCCCTAAGCAATGTATGGCTTCCTCAAAACCCTATAGTCTAGTGTTCTTGATCATGTATAGGATTAGCTCAGAGTAGACGTTTGCCCTGGAACCAGGGATGGAGGCATAGGTTGGGCATGGCTGGGTCAACTCAGTGGCTTGCGTCTTGATAACTTTGTAGGGCAAGGGTCATCCTGCAAACCCTGGACTTCTCAACTGTGGGCTTACAGGAAAGAGAGATCAATTTGTACCTTCTTTGAGCTACATGTTTTGGGATCTTTTTGTTACAGCAGCTTATCCTATATCCACCTAATATAAAATGCTCATTTCTTGCCTGTTTACTTTTGCTCAACACTCCCTCACCTGTCCCCACCCCACGTTTAGAATGAGAATATACATATAAGATGAATCTATTTTTATTCTCTAGAATTTATTTTCTAAACAACAGCCAGAGTGATCTTTCATCAGATCACGTCATTCTCACTGAAAACCTTCTCATTGGACTTAGAATAAGAGCCGACTCTTTATCATGATCTAGCCCCCATTCAACTCCACTAGTTCCCTCTTATGTCTTTCTTTCTCATTTACCAGGTTCCAGTTATGTGGGTCTGCTTTTGTTCTTGGAACATGCCAAGGTGGCACACCTGTGGCACCCTTACACTCACCATTCCCTCGTTAGGAATTATGGCTGACTTCTTATCACATTTAGTTCTCAGCGATTGAAATTCTTCTCTCATTGCTTTTTATTTTATCACCATTTTATTTCTTTATGGTACATTATAGAATTTCTCACCACCTAAAAGGATCTTGCTTATTGATTGGGTTACTTGTTTTTAATCTGTCTCTCCCAGCTAGATATAAGATCCATGAAAGTTGGCATCAATCTGTTTTATTCATTTTTTGTGCACCCTGGGTGTGCTAGTGGTCAACTGCTATGGGTGCTCTATGAATCTTTATCAAGCAAAAACATGTTTCTACCACAGAGCAGTGTCCGTCTTGTCTCCGTCCTCAAAGAGCTTATAATCCATCTGCTGGTGACCTTTAAACCAGACTGCCAGCAAGACCAGAACAATTTCACATGGCACATTCTCAGACACAGTTCTGCAGGGACAAATTCCAATTTACAAGCTGAGAATTAATTACAATACCAAAGCAACCCAATGCATTTATGTAAATTAATTGAGTTTAAATTAATTTCCTATTAGATTGTAGTCCTCCCCTTTTATTTCTTTTGAGAATTTCTACTTCATGAGAAGGTGAAATGGAAAAATTGTTCAGATTTTCATCAAAAAATTTGTTAGGCACCAGGGATGATTCTTGCAGGCACTAATGTCAGAGTAGAGAAGGCGAGGGGAGGACAATGACTTCTCTGAGCCAGTATTTAATCTGACTCAGTTGACTTTTTCCAAATGTCTTTCTTGGTGATGCTGAAGAGGTCTTTTGGCTTTCATCAGCTAGTAAGGGGAGCTGGTCAGCCAGAACGTGGAACTGCTGGCAGCTGTTTCACAGAAAACCCATTCCTTACATCTAAGACTTCCACTGAAAACCTACAGGGCCAGGCTTTGAAAAGAGTGAAGTGTCTTTAGAAATATTTACACTGTCTTTATTCCAGAGTCACTGTCAGTCTCTGGCACTTGGGGCTCAGATGCACAGGGAAACGTCCCCCTCCCCTGAATCAATGGTGCCTTTTACATTAGACCGCAGAACCCCACAAAATGTGCAAAGAAATTGTCTCTTGATGTGTTGACTCCTCTCTGTGAAGGAAGACTATCCCCAACCCTCTCTCAAGCTGTCATTGTGAATGGTGCTAGAGGGGAGGATTTGCCAAATGGCTGTCAGAGCTGACACTGGGCCAGCGTCAGCAGGGAGCCTGAGTTGTCTTTGAGGATATGATCTTTCTTCCTGCACAGGTCCTTGGAATTCCTCCTACTGTTTGAACCAATGACACAGACCTCAAGCTCCAGGAAACAGGTAAGTTATTCCCCAGGTGATTCTTGTAGTGAATGGTGAGAATGAACAAGATGTCTTTTTAGTGCCTGCCTGAACCACGTAAGGAAGTAGGGGGTGGGTGTATGGGGCTTGCTTCAAGGCAGTCTGACTCAAGAAGGAGTTCACCATGAATGACATTGGAATTTAGGTTTCTCCCCCTTTGTTACCAGACAGCTCCTCAATATAGACCTGTTTCTCTCACTGCCAGCTCTGTCAAAAAAGCTCTCATGATAAGGAAACACGGAATAGGAAAGTCTACTGAGAAACTTGGAACAAAGTGCTCTAACTCGGGTATTTGTATTTATGATTTATGTTGTTTGCAGTAGGAAACAGTAACTGAAAATAATAATTCAATAGAACTTTATAGACACTTGAACATTTCGGAGAGAAATCCACCTTGCCCCCGTTAATCCAAGTGGAGGATGGCAAGCACTTGGTACGTGGTGTTCCTTCCTGTACCTCTGCCATAGCAGACATTGCTGAATGATCACAGCATTCTTTCATAAGCTGAAATGCAGCAGGAAAATACTTCAGAACACAGTGTTCTCAACAGCCACTATAATCTATCAGAAATGTCATGCAAAATGAAACCCATTTGCCATTCCTGTTCTAAGTTAATGAGGTCTACTGTATGAGTGTGAGCTCACGTGCCACCTGGGATGGCCTCAGCTGCAATGCTCTCATGCTTTCCAGTTTGATTCCAGACTCACCTTTTTTGGGGACACACTTTCCTGTGCCAAGTGAATCAGTCCTCCTGTTTTTCCCTCTCACCAATGTTTCTCTCTGGGCTCATTTGAGTGTGGATCAAAGGGCAGCTGTGAAACCATGTTGGAAGCACCTACTTCCAGTGGCCTTTCAAAGTCAATTCCTAATGAGCAGCAAGTCCTCCCACAAACTAAACAGAAATAGCCTCAGAGGTATAGAGAAAAAAACTGATGGTTGCTAGATGGAGAGAAAGTGAGGGGATTAGAAAATACAAATTAGAAGCCACAATATTGCCACAGGGATATGAAAGACAGTTTGGGGAATATAATCAATAATGTTGTAAAGGTTTTGTAGGGTCTCAGATGGTTACTTGTCTTATTAGGGAGACCACTTCATGGGTGCTGTAGATGCCTGACCACTGTGCTGTACACCTGAAGCTGAATAATATTGAATGTCAGCTATAACATATATATATATATATATATATATATATATATATATATATATATTCATGGGATGTGGAATACAGCATAGGGAATACAGCATTGGAATTTTAACAGCTGTATATGATGTCAGAGGGGTAGCAGATTGGGGAAGAGAGGTTATCACTTTGTGAGGAGTGTAAATGCCTATTACATTGTTTTCTACACCTGAAACTAATTTAAAAAAGAAAGAAACAGGTCTTCCCAGAGACCAGTGCATTGGAGGCTGGGTCTGGCCCCAGCTTCCTTAACGAATCTGTGGTGCACAGATTTGGCCGTGAGCCATTGTCAATGCTCTCACTGCAGTGTCCTATGACCAATCTTCTTATATCAGAGAATTGTATGCGTTTTGCAGTAAATTACAAGGCAGGTCTGGTTTCTGAAATCAGCCGAAGGCTAATTAAGGTTTCTTTCCCTTGGCCGCAATGTCATCATAAATGACTCTGCAGAGTGGTGGAGGGCTGACGTTTTGTCATCCAATACCATATTTTGTGAGTGATTAAAATCTTCTCAGTCACCTGCCTGACCAACTGCCAGTAGCCACAAAACAAAAAGGATTACAGTCAATTCATGTGCATTAAGAGAATGGCTTGAAACACTATCAGTTTAGGTTCGATGGGGCTTAACCTGATTTCAGGAAGAAAGAAGCGATGTGCAATTAAAGGAGAGGGGAAAAGCAAAAAAAAAAAAATTCAAATAAGAATATTCCCCAAAGTCCAAAGCCTGTTTGGTTTGTTTGTTTCCAAAAGGATTTATTAAGTACCTGTCAAGTTCTTCCTACAATGGTGGACCCTGAAAAGGTACACAGGAAGGAGAAAACATGAGTAATGGCTGTCCTTGGAATTCGCAGTCTAGTGGGGGAGAAAAATCACACACTGAGGAAGCAGCCAGAGAATTACTGGATTCATGTTTAGCAGGAATTTTTAAAATATCTTTTAGGTGCCTGGCTCTGTTGGAGAAAGAAAAGAAGAGAAATGAAAAGTGTTAGTTGACATGTACATGGCTCTAGCTACCTGCTTAGCAGTAAGTGTTTTACACATATTGACTCAGCCTCCACAACATCCTTTACATACCATTGTTATCTCCATTTTACAGATGAGGAAACCATGCCCAAGGAAGTAAAGAAATTTGCCTGAGGCCATATAATCAGAAGTTGAGGAGCTGAGATTTGCACAGGTAGTCTGGCCCTGGAATCTGAGGTTTTAACCATAACTCTATGTTGCCTCCCAAGGTGCTGGGGTAGTTCCCTACCCTTGAGAATTTCCATTCTCCCTGGGGGTGGGGTGGGGTGGGATCAGGCCTGGGCCTGTGGCATAGTTAACTTAGAGGTAGAGGTTGGAACAATGGAGGCAGGAAATAGAGAGTAATGATTTCTAGAAAGAGTAGGGGAGAGTCTGAACTGAACTCTGAGTATGGATGTGTCTATGTGGGGTGGGGCTCTGCCCAGAGGAATAGAGAAGGTTCTAGACCAAGAGAAGGGCAGGAGTAGAGCTGACTGAGAGCATGGCTGCAATTAGTGGCTCAAGGGTTTGCAGCTGCCCAAGAAAGAGGATGCATTCAATCAAAGGCTGTCTTCTAACATGGGTCATAGCGCTGGGGCCAGAGCAAGGAGTTGGAATCTGACAGACCAGGCTTAGAGTTTGATTGTGCCACAGGCTCCTCAATTAACCTTGAGTAAGTTATCTAACGTCTATTAGCCAGTTTCCCCAAATACAAGGTGGGAAGAATGGCCACAGAAGAATCAGGACAATCTTGTACCATGTAAGGAATTAATTAATTTATTATTTATTCAAAAATATTCAGTATGTACCAATTGCTGTGCCAGATGTTGGAACAGTGAACAAAAGGAACATGACTGCTGCCCTCCTAGAGCTTACATTCTAACTGGAGAGGCAAAATAATAAATAAGTGGACAAAATAATTTCAGATTATGAGAAGGGTTTTGAAGAAAACCCAGGGTTGGGGCCAATGGAATTAATAACGGCTTTTACAGGGCCCACTATCAAGCATGGCGTTTGTGCCGTAAGAAGCAGTCAGTACTGCTTTCATTTTATATAATATCAGGTAGCATCATCTTGGAATTCAACACATGAGAGAAAGCCATGCTGTCAGATACTCTTCATTGCCCACTCTGCAGGCATTTCTCCTTTATTCCTTGCTTACAGACCCCAATTTAATACAAGATTTTTCTTCCAGTGGAGGGAAATATCCCAGCCAATCATGGCAATCCTGCTTAATTTGCCAGGGACAGGTTTAAGCAAAACCACGTGACTTGGTTCTGGCTGATGTGTGAGGAGACTTCTGGGTAAGGTTCCTCACTGTATAAACAAACAAACAAGCAAGCAGTACATAGAGAAAACAAGCCATGCTCTCTCCTCCTGATACTTGCATGTGACGGTTGAAAATGCGGCGGCCTTCTTGGGGCCGTGAAGGACCTGGCCTAGAGGGCAAGCCAACGTGCAGAGTGTGGCATAGAAGAAAGCAGGCATGGATATGGGTTCCCAGTGTTTCTGGGACACTAAGCTAGTCACCTTGGAACCACCCCGTCACACATCTCTTCTTAGGTGAGATAAAGAATTCTGTACTTACTGTTCAAGCCATTCAGGGCGGGATTTCCTGTTATTGGCAGCCAGAGCATCATGACCAATAGAAGTACAACGTGGAAACAATGAGGGATCCTGGGAGCAGGGTTCTGGTTCTTCCTAAGGGCTGTTTATAAAAGGAGAGGAAGAAAGTTAGACTCTGTTATTGACATGCAGCTTTGGAAGATCCATCCCCATATTTGGTGGAACAATCCTTCAAGTAAGGAACGGTGGTAGTCCTTAGTGTTCCCATGGCTTGTCAGTCCCTCCTGAGAACACTGCTCCTCAGTGTGGACGTACATACCCAAGGGAAGCCCCCCGGGCAATGTGCTGAGTGTACAGGAAACCCAGGACAGATGCTGCACATCTTCAAGGACTACCACTTCCTACCAAAACGTGGGAAGCAACTCTGGAATGCAACTTTATGAGGACACAGACCATATTAATTATGCTCACTGCTTTTCCTCCAGTGCCCCAGAACCATTCTCAACACAGAACAGGGGCTCAAAAAATATCTGTGAAATTAATCAGTAAATTAAACCAAACATGGATATGTTTTGTAGAATTACAGAAGCATGGAATAAAGTTTAAAAATGCAAACAGGTAAACATGTAAGGAGTGTGTCTTTGTCTTTTCTACACCAATGATATTTGCTGAAAAATGTATAAGGAGCTGTCACTTAGGAATATCCCACTTGGCTTTAATTCGAGCCTTACCACATATTGTTGAAACCTTTTCTGAGTCCTCTTACTTGGAACACGTTCCTATCAGACAGCCCCAAGTTCTCCAGGCCAGCTGCCACTCTGAACGAGAGGGAACACCCTGGCATTTGCTTCTTCTTTCCTTTTCCATAAGTCACATCAGCATCCTTCGACCAGGATAACTGGAAGGAAACAGGGTCTTGAATGGCACAGTTGGTGGCTTTTGCTAGTGCTATTTTTCTCACCTACTCTTGTCTCCCCTTGCTTAGAGCAGCCCTCTTTATCCTGCAAAGCCTGGCAGGAAGTCCATTTGCTTTCCTCACTTCCCTAGGCCTCAGTGAGCTGACTCTCATATCTCATAATCTGCATAATATGTTATCTATCACAGGAATTAGAATATCAAGTGCCAGCACAGGACAGAGCCAGGCAGAGCCCACAACTCGTTTTCCCCACAGGATGTGCACGCCATATGACGCAGAGGTCAAACCTTCTGCTTTTTCATATTTCCTACTGTACTTAGAATATTTCTGGGGCAAATCCTGGTGATGTCACCTGCCAGTATATTCTTATAGCTTTGTGAGCTTCAGTTATAAAGTGTGTACTATACTCCTTCACAAGGATATTTTAAATATTAGAAATAAAAATGTGTAAAGCTATTAGTTTGCACTCAAAGGTTACTCTACTGTTATGTGGTATGTGGTAAGTGCTCAATCTCTGTTTGAGGGTTTATTGAATGACTCATTCTCTGATAGCTGAAAACAAGCTGGACTCTCTCGCCTTATCTAGACAGTGGTGCTCCTGCTGTATTTGAAAACAGAGTTTCTCAAACCCTGCTCTGAAATTGTACAGAAGCCAGTGGTTTCAGGGAATGGAAATCCAGGGGACACTGGGCCAGCCTCCATTCTCTGGGAGTGGTCACCTGTCCCTGGATTGACAAGGGTCATAGGACAAGGAGACCAAGTGCAGAGTTGCCAGAGGCTGTTGGAGGTTACAAGGCCTGCACCATGGGCAGTATCTTCTGGAAGGTGAGATTACCAGAGCCCAGGCACTCCAGGAGCCCTTGGAGGGTCATGCGAGGGAGCAGCCTGAGAATGACTGGCCCTCTGGAGGGAATATGGCTGACCCTCAGGAGCCAGTTTCTTCCCTTTGATTGGTCTTTGTGATCGGTCTCACTGTGACAGCCCCACAATAAGGATCAGGCAGGAGATTCATGTTCATTATGATTCTGTCTTCCCGAGTCACAAACGAAACTACGAAGATGCCTACAACCAAAAAAGCCAGTGACTCATTGCTCACCTCTCCAGCCTGAGCCCTGGTCCAGGCCTGATCCCCAAGGTATTGCTCACTGTTGAAGTCTGGCTGCCATACCAAGCCTACGTAGAGGACCAGGCAGTGAATGGACTATTGATGCTGGGTGATTCTTTAGAGATTATTGATGCCACCCCCTCCTTATACAGATGGGGAAACTGAGACCCACAGTGGAGAAGGGACGTGTACAAATCACATGGCCCATTGAGGTTAAATTTGGACCCAATTCTCCATCACATGTTCTTTCCAATCTGAAATGTAGTCAGATGCCCACTTTCTGCTCTGGAAGGCAGAAACTGGCCCTGACCCTGATTTTACACAACCAACCCAAGAAAACTAGATTCCTTCAGCATGTCACTGGCCTGGACCCAGAGACATCCGAGACCATGAAGGAATGGATGAACGAACTCTCCCTACCTTCTTATCCTGAGCCCTTTGCAGCTGTTTTGTAATCTACGAGGTGTGCAAGCCTACACATTTGCTGCCCTCCTGCAATGCGATTTTCACGGGAACGTTGGCCAGAAAGAGGTTGACATGAAGGGTTTAGTTACTACTACAAATAATGATAACAATATGATAGTTAACGCATCACACTCACTATGCCAGATGCTGTTCTAAATCCTTAGATATATTAATTCATTTACTCCTCCCAACAATCCCATCAGATCAATTTATAAATGAGGAAACTCAGGTATGGAAAGAAATGAGTCTCAGATCACTCAGTAATCCGTGGAGCTGGGATCTGAATTTAGTGAGTCTGACTCCAGAGCCCAGGATGCCTCACTGACCCAGGTGCAGCCAGTGGCTCCTTAGAACAGAGCTGCACTGCTATTTAAAAAAAAACTCTTAACTTACCAATCCTGTCTTCCTGTCCTAAGGGACTAGAAGTAGAATGGGCTCAGAAAGGCGGTGGCTTCCCTCTCTCACTTCTCCCACGGGGTTGTGGCCCTCAAAACCCCATCTCCCGCCTCCCCACCCGGCACTGCCTGCTGCGGCACTGCGCTCTTGGATACTTGCCTCCAGAGGCAGGGAGGTCAATGCTGGATTGAGTTTTCGGATTCCCTTGGGGTAAAACTTACAGATTCTCAGTTGTGCAGTGAAAAAAATAGCCATTTGATGTCTCTCAACTCTGTATGAATCTTGTGAACTGGTCTCTAGAAACCACTCGCATGACAGGAAATAAATAAAAGGATGAGTTAGAAGGCTGGAATAATTCATCAAGGGCCTCCACCCCTGCGCGCATGCACAGACACACACACACACACACACACACACACACACACGGCAGTGCTCCACTGTGCCAGGGGAACATTCAGGTTGCCTTTGTATTATGTGTCTTTGATTAATTTCTGAGGAAAAAGATCAGCTCTGCCAGAGCCTATGTTGTGTTTTCTCTAAATCAGGGCAAATAACATTACTTCTCCAAATGTTGCTATTAGAATGAGATTTATATTTACCTAGAGAGGCTGCTCCTGAGAGAGATGCAGCGAGAAGTTTATGCTACAGACAGAATCATCTGCCCTGCTGAAATGTGATTTGCTGCAGAGGACTGTTTGGAGTTTGGATTAATGAGAGAGATAAACACGATGACTGCTGGTGGTTTTCAGTAACGTGATTACTGCTGGGGAACAGATCTCACTCCCTCTTTCTGAGTCTCTCATCCTCTCAGCTTGTGAATGAGCCCAAGCCAATAATTTCCCAAAATGGAGGACTGAGCTGGGAAGGCCATGATATGTGCCCATGTCCACATCCACCACGATGCCCTTGTGCACAGTCACACACTCGCTTGCAGACATGTGAACATGTACACAGGCACATGCTCACAGTGGCACTTGGACCTCAGCTTGGGCAGCCTGGTGGGGAGAGGAACAAGGCGTTTCCTACCATGGTCCTATTTCCTCCACCTTCGAGTGGAGCATGTTGGGTCCTGGAAGAACTATCAATATACTGGCAGGAAGCAATTTGTCCCACAAGATAAAGTTGTAACATTCAGACAAAGTAAAAGTAAATTCGGCTATAAACCCCCTAGGTGCTCAGTTTTACTATCGTGGTTTCAGGCCATGGAATAAAAGTATTTTATGGATGTAGTCGGCTTTGCATTATTCCTGTGTACTTTGTAGTTCAGAGTTAGAACTGGAAAGAGGACCCCGGAGTCTTAGATTCAGGCTCCGTCTTCTGTTTAACACTGTGGAGCTTTCACTCATGTGCTAGGCTAGTGTGGGTCTCCAAGGAGGAATCAGATATGAACCCTGCCTCAAGGTGCCCCAAAGCATGACCCCAAGTAGACTGAGTATAAGCTCAGAAAGTAAGAGGTATCAAGTGAGAGGCACAGAGGGAAGTTGCTGCAAGGGAAGCATCACCTCTGGTTGGGGAAGGAGGGAAAGGCACTGTGGACTAGCCCCCGAGTTGCATCATGGAAGAGATACGAGATTTGGACAGAAGATGGTGGAGGTGGGAGGGTATTTCTGGCAGAGGCAACACCACAATTAAGGGTTGAGAGGGAGGAAAGTGGGGATATGTTTAAGGGGTAATAAGCAGGTTATTCTAGAACATGAAACACGTGTGGATGTAAAAGAGAGGAAAGTGGGTGGGAAATAAAACCTCTTTTCTCTGTTCCCTCTCCTCCCTGTCTTCGACCACTCCTGCTTAGTCCAGTGTGATCACGCCCCAGGTTGCTGATCTGAAACCCTTTTTCCCACTCTCACCAAGTCAGGATCGTAAGGAACCATAAGGGCTGTGTGCTCAGGACAGCACCAAAGTGGAGGGTCCTGGAGGATGTCTGGGGGAGGAAACATGTCCCCTACCTACCTACCTACCTACCTACCTACCTGCCTGCCTACCTGCTGCCTCTGCCCAAGTTATTTACTTTGCCTGAACTCTTCTTCCTTTCCATCACTTTTGTCTAAATCATATCATCCTCTGAGCTGCAACTCAAATGCAAGTTTCACAGGAAATTCTTTCTTAATTTCCCCAGACAGAAGCAACTACTCCTTATCTGGGGCCTTGAAATCCTGTGTTCCTCTGGGATGTTAATGGGATTCTCCTGTAAACAGTGGAAAACCCCCAATGATGAGCTGTGCCCCAACTCCCAATTCTATGTGGCCTCTGTGTGTGTTTGTTTCTGTAAAAGGTCCTTATTATGAATCTTAAGTCAACTGCCAAACTGGGGCTTAATAAGCATAACATGTATAAAACAGAAGATTTAAGGGTCCAGTGCAGTAGCTCTGAACTTAGAGTCAGCTCTTTGAAAATATTCCCAACAGGGTGAGAGCATGACAGCCTTATTATTCCAGTTCCTCTGATCAGGGTTCTGCAAAGGGACCGTTCAGTCCTAAAGGCTGGGGTCCTCCAGCAAGGCATTGAGAACAGGACATATCACCACCTGGAAAACAAGAAGTCCTTAAGTGTCCTTATCAACGGACAAAAGGCACAGCATCTATGGCTCTAGCCTGCGTTCTTCCAAACTGCTCCAAACCAAATTAGTTGCCTTCCTTCTCCCCAAACCTGGCTTCTTCGCATGTTTCCACGGTTTCAGTCAGAATCAACACCATCCACACAGCTGTGCAATACAGAAAACTAGAAGGCATCCTTGGCCCCTTGTCTTTCTCACCCTCCATTCCTAATCTACTGTCAACATTCTCCTTGACTTTCTGAACTCCAAGTGTCATGGCCTCTCCTGACAGCGTTTGAAGACAACTTTTCTCTCTGCTTAACATGGCGCGTCCTCCTGGTTTGAGTTTCAGCTTAGTTCTTAGTTTTTAGTTTAATCGTCATTTTCTCAGGGAGGCCTTCCTTTATCCAATAATAAGACCATGTTTTTCTCTTATGGGTTCTGAAGTGTCCTGTGCTTCTCACTCAGCACTCT